CTCGTTCAGCCATTCTTTGATTTGGATTATTGTTGTTGCTTGTTCTGATATTCAGTGAACAGTATTGTTTTGTTTGCTAACCAGACGAATCATACCTTACATAAGTATGTCAGGGTAATAGAACAGAATGCAGAACGTGGTGTTACAGCTACAGGAAAGGGGCAGAGAAAGATCAACTCTCATATCGATGTCCATTCATAAGTCCAATAACAATGGAGAAGGAGCTGTTCTTGAATCTGTTGGTATGTGTTTTCAAACATATGTATCTTCTGCTCGATGGAAGAGGATGGAACAGAATATAACCAGGGTGGAAAGGATCTTTGATTATGTTGGCTGCATTCCTAAGGCAGTGTAGATGGAGTCAGTAGAAGGAAGGCTAGGTTTCATGATGGAATAAGATGCGTTCACAACTCTGTAATCTCTTGCAGTCTTAGGCAGAGCAGTTGCCATACCTAGCATCTACTTACGATGCTTTGTGTGGTGCATCTATAAAAATTGGTAACAGTCATTGCAGACATGCCGAATTTCCTCAGCCTTCTGAGGAAGTCGAGGTGTTGGTGTGCTTGCTTGACTGTAGTGTCAACATGGATGGGCCAGGATAGATCGTTAGTGATATTTACTCCAAGGAACTTGAACTTCTCGAGCACCTCCACCTCACCACCATTGATACAGACAGGGACAATTCCGCCATTCCTCTTCCTGAAATCGATGACCAACTCCTTCATTTTGCTGACATTGAGGGAAGAGACTGTTGTCTTGACACCAGGCCAATAAGCTGTCTGTGTCTATCCTCTACTCTTGTCTTATTGTTGTTTGAGATCCAGTCCACTACAGTGGTATCATCAGCAAATTTGTAAATGGAGTTAGAACTGAATTTGGCCACACAGTTGTGAGTGCATAAGGAGTAAAGTAAGGGGCTGAGTACGCAACCTTGTAGTGTTGAGGATTATTGTGGAGGAGGTGTTGTCGCCTATCTTACTGATTGCGGTCTGTGGGTCAGGAAGTGAAGGATCTAATTTGCAGAGGGTGGAACAGAGTCCTCGGTCTCAAAGTTTGGAAATGGGTTTGATTGGAATTATAGTGTTGATGGTGGAGCTAAAGTCAATAAATTGGAGTCTGATGTAGGTCTCCTTGTTATCCTGATGTTCCAAGGATGAGTGTAGGGCCAGGGAGATGGCATATGCCATGGACCTTTTGCAGCAGACAGTGAGAAGTTGAGAGCAATTGGATGACTCTGCCTTGTTCTACCTCAGGAGGAAGCTGTAAAAGTTACTAGGCAGCTAAATATTGGAGTCAACTCTGTGGAAATATCTGGGAGCAGTGGGGGCTCAAGAAGAAGCAGTGTGCCACTAACAGCTCAATGCAGCTGTGAGTGAGGGTCAAGAAAACCTAGAAGTTGTATATCATGCATCTGAACCAGATTAAAGCTTACAGACAGTATTAGCTAAGTGAAGTTTGCAGTTTCAGGAAAGTAGGAGTTGTGCCTGTGATTAAGTACTAGAATGCAATTTTGAAAATTCAGGGGAATGTAGGCAAAGGAATGGAAAGTGAAATAGCAAAATGTAAGCAGTCTTTGAGGAAATCCGTGATGGAGTGGCTTTTGAGGGAGTTTCAAGACCAGGCTGTCAACAGCATTTGAAGTGCTCTTTGGGGTGTTGAAGCATAGTTCGTCTGTCATCCATATTTGCCTCGTATTAAATTTAGGATCTTAGAATGTAAATCATAACTATCTTGTATACTCCTAGTCATACAGCACAGAAACAGACCCTTCGGTCTAACTTGTCCATGTCAACCAGACATTCCAATCTGACCTAGTCCCATTTGCCAGCATTTGGCCCACATCTCTCTAAACCCTTCCTATTTATATACCCATTCAGATGCCTTTTAAATATTGTAATTTACCCACCTCCACCACTTCCTCTGGTAGCTTATTCCATACATGCACCACCCTCTGCATGGAAAGTTGCCCCTTTTAAATCTTTTCTCTCTCAGCTTAAACCTATGCCATCTGGTTTTGGAATCCACTACCTTGGGAAAAAGACCTTGGCTATTCACCTATCCATGCCCCTCCTGATTTTATAAACCTCTATAAGGTCACCTTCAGCTTCCAATGCTCCAAAGAATAAAGCCCCAGCCTATTTAGCCTCTACCTATAACTTGAACCCTCCAGCTCTAAACCTTTTAAAAGTTCTACATCGTGACGGAATCAAGGAGACAAAATACTATCGCTATTACAAAGTGAGTGAATTGGAGAGAAATCAAATATTGTTTGTGTGGAAATTGCTTCAGGTTTCTTGAGCAGAAAATTGCTACCGCTAATGAGAGAGAATAGACCGGAGGAGCTGAAGAAGAACAAAGGAACATGAATGTATGTTAGGATAAATAGGGATGCAGCTGAAATGAGGGAATGATAGTTTGCCAATCCAAGACATTCTTCAGACTTTGGATCTGTAGTACATTATGATTATAATGATCAAAGTTTTATAGAACTCTATGTAGAGCACTTAAATATGTATATTTGAATAATATCTCCCCTTTACCAGAAAAATCTAAAATAACATTTATTTTAAATGCATTTTTCTATACTGTAGATGATTAACTATTATGTTACATGTATCATTTGTAAATAAATTTGGACAGACTTTAAAGAAACATTTTACTCTAATTGCGTTTACTTTTCAACTGTTCTACTTGGGCTTTACAGAGTGCAGCTAAAAGTAAAAAGGTCAAAATTTCACTTTATAAGACCTATGTTTTCCTTAGTGAAACAGTTGTGAAAACAGTCATATGAGAAAAATGTGTTGATGGGAGCCAAACTGAAACGTAAACCCTTTCCTTGGTCATTAAAGTCCAAGTTTGGCGCCAGCTAATAACACCACCTTTTCACTTGGTTCTCAGTATAGATTTATTCATTAGATTTTGGAATTTTAAGCAAAAAGGCTGATTTGCAGCATTTTTACAATACTGTTTCCTATAAAATAATGTTAAACCTTTTTATTAGACATGAGGTCCATGTTAAGTGAGTCAGCGCTGGCAAGGAACTGATAGCCAATTCTATTGGTAGGTAAAAGCAAAATACTGTGGATATTGAAATCTAAACAGCAAGTGCTGGAGAAACTCTCATCCCTCTGTGGAGAAAGAAAGGACTTCACATTTCAAGTCCAGTATGACTGTTTGCTGGAACTGCAGTATCTAGTGACTCAGTATCCAGTATCTCTAGCCATTAATTGATACCAAATTGAGTGAAACGAATTGGATGACGACTGACATCTGTGAAACTGTGGACCTCTGGAGGGAATCAAGATGCATCGTCCACTCAGCATTTTGGACCGGAGATTGCTGCAAATGTTTCAGCTGTATCTTTTGCACTGAGCCTGTACTGTCAATGTGGCAGGGCTGTGGAGCTGGTATAATCTTATAGCACACAATATTATGCTCCACTTCATGCATTCAAAGACCATCTTCTATGTCATCCCAATTCATTTGGATCATTAAGAGCTCCATCACTACCTAAACTTGCTGAAAAAGAGAACCCTCCTCCACAAACTCTCATTCTTTGCTTGTCACTTAACTTCCAAACCATTTTACTTTCTGGTTCTTCAGAGTCTATTGATAGTCGCGTAGGTCAAAAATATTGGATCTTCCACTTACATCATTGTCTCTCCAGTAATGACTGCCTTCTCATTGCGTGATCTAAAAGAAGTAACCTTCTGTATTAATGAAGACCAGAAAATCCATTATGTCTTTCTCTAGAATCCCTTGAAAATGGTTAAATACGGATCAAAGTCATAGAGATCTGCAGCACAGAAAAAATCCCTTTGGTCCATCAACTCTGTACTGGTCATAAAGCAACCACCTAATATTCTGAATCCATTTTCCAGCACTTGGTCTATAGCCTTGTATGCCTTTGCATGGTTAAAGTGCATCCAAATATGTATTAAATACTAGGAGGGTTTCTCCCTGTCCCATCCTTACTGGCAATGATTTCCAGATTCCCACCACCCTCTAGGTGAAAATGTTTTTCCTCACATTCCCTCTAAACCTCCTGTCTCTACCTTAAACCTATGCCTGTGATCATTGCTTCCTCCACCAAGGAGAAACATTTCTTCCTATCTATCTTGTCTATCTACCTCATAATTTTATACATCTCAATCTGGATACCCCTCTGTCTCCTCCGTTCTAAGGAAAATGACCCCAGTCTATCTAATTTCTCTTCATAACTAAAACTCTTGAGCTTAGGAAACATCCTAGTAAATATGCTCTGCACTCTCACCAGTGCACTTATATTGCTCTTATAATGTAGGTTCCAGAACTGCACGCAATAATCTAGCTCTGACCTAACCTCAGTAATAAATATAAGATGGCTGGACTGCTACTGTGAGTGGTCCAAAATATACAGCAGGAATATTGGGCCTCCATTCTCCTTGTGCATAATTTGTAAGTTAATATATGCAGTGCAGAAGTGCAATAAGATAAAAGACTGAACAGTTTGAATCCAGTTATACACCAACATTGCGTCTTTACCCACCAAGAAAAGCTAATTTTGTACTAGAGACATACATGTGTTAACATCTACAGTTTATAACACAACAAAGTAAAAAAGCATGGAATGGAAACAGGAAACTGCATTTCTGATCTTGTAGGCATTTTTCCAAATTAGCAAGAATTACAGATTTAAGGTAATGTAGGAGCAAGAAAAGGTTGATGACAAACATTTCCCTCCAAACATTTCCTATTCATGTACTTATCCAAATATCTTTTAAACATTATAACTGTATCTGCATCCACCACTTCCTCTGGAAGTTCATTCCACATAAGAACCACTGTCTGTGTTTCAAAAAAAACTGCCCCTCATGCCCTTTTTTAAATCTTTCTCCTCTCTCCTTAAATTTTTAGGAAGATGCATGTTAGAGGGTAATTTGTATATTTAAATTCTAGAATACAGCTCTGAAAGATTTGCTTGCGTGAACTAAAGCATCTTGTGCTTTCAATTTTTCCAGGGGCGTCGGATGTATCTTCTATGAAATGGCATCAGGAAGACCTTTGTTTCCTGGTTCCACCGTCGAAGATGAATTGCACTTGATTTTCAGGCTACTAGGTAGATTGGAAATTTAATTGTAAATGTAACAAGTGTTGATTCTTCGCCTAAATATTTTTGTATTCCTAACTAGAATTTTTCTTTTCTGTATGGAATCCTAGAATCATTATGGCACCAGAGAAGGCCATTTGATCTAGTGAATCCATGCCAGCTCTTTAAAGCCATCTAGTCAGTCATGTTCACCCGCTCTATTTTTGGAACCTTGCAAGTTAATTTCCCTCAAGTACCCATCCCAGTTTCCTTTAATTGTCTCTATTTCTACCAGTCTCGTAGCCAGAGAGTTTCAGGTCATTCTCACTCACTGCAGTCACTGTAAATCTGAGTCCCATAATCCTTTCACCATCTGCTAATGGGAACACCTTTTCTTTATCTACTGTCTCTAAACCTGTCATAATTATGCACTACTGTCAGATCTTCCCTCATCTTCCTTTTCTCCATGGAGAGCAATTCCAGCTAACTTTACAGATAAATTTCCTCATTTAATAAATGATTTTTATCATGTCTAATGTTACCAATTCAGAACAAACTACACAAAGAGTGTAAATTGACTAAGCAGTGTGTGATATTTTTTTAAAGGGTGTTTTTTGGACAGTTCTTACTTGTGGTTAAATGACTATTTCTATTTTCATGTGCTGTTTAAACATAATTCAAACGGCACAATGTGCCACATCCATGTGCTGGCATCAGTCATTTTGTTGAGCACATGTTTACAAAAAAAAGTGAAAGACCTATGAAATCTTAAGTTCATGTTGGTATTTTCAGTGAGTTTCTGCATTACACTAATGGATTTTATTTACTACAGGAACACCTACAGAGGAGACATGGCCAGGCATATCTTCAAATGAGGAATTTAAGGCTTACAACTTCCCTAAGTATAAGCCACAACTTATAATAAATCATGCACCAAGGTACTGGTAGTCAATTGCATTGAGTAATTGGGTCAGATTAAGTATGCAATGAATTATGATTCGTATAGTGATTGCTATGGACAGAAAATGTGTGAACTGCAAAAGGTGTAGGTGTTTGGGACTTTACAAGTGCGTGCATTGGAGACCAATTTGGATGTTCTGTGGGGGGAAATGACCATGTGTAGTACAGTTTCTTCAAGTGGATAAATGCAGTACAATTGTATTTAGTCATGGAAAACGTAAATATGTATATGCTGTGCAGAGTTATCCGTTGAAGGTTTTATAGTAGAGGGGAACCTACTATCATATTGGATAAGTACAGAATGACAATTAGTCTTGTGACAACACAGTAACTTTATGTAGTTTGTTGGTGAAAGTCTAAGATATCACAGCAGTTTTTAAAACCTTACCTTTACTGAAGTAAAGGTATTAAATGTCCTCTGTATGAAGACATTAGGTTGACATTTATAACAGTTGATTTCTTAAAGTTGCTAAATGTCATAATTGTAGAATTAGATAGGTAATCTAACGGTAATGATGGCAAGACTTGATTTAATGCAAAAAAAACCATGTTCAAGAGAGATTTAGTGACCAGGAATTTTTTTTTTACACAGTATGGAGAGTGCTCAGAATTGATTCCAAATTGGTTGTTAATGTTGATTGGCTCTTTTAAAACAAGAAATATCTGTGTGAATTGAAAATTAAAAAGATTCCATGCTAGTGGGAACATGGATTCATCGGCTGTGGTTAGACTGGAAGCATATTGTAATGTTTGGATAAACATACTTCATTGCCTTAAAGGGATTTATGTGTAATTGTACAAAGCTTTATCTTCCTATGGGCTTTTTCTTAAATCAACATTTGATTGTCTCCCTAAACGGATTAGAATTGATAGAATCCATGTCTGGATAACTTGTGCATGTGTTATCAAGATAATCTATTTGTTACACTTACGTAAGTGAAGCTGTCAGTTTGCTTCAATCCTGGCAACATATGCAAAAGATGTACACTATAAGAACAGAAATGTGTTATGTAACTCCGTCAGTTTGTAACTTGCATTTTCTTATAGGTTGGACACAGATGGAATTGATCTGTTATCCAGCTTTTTACAAGTAAGTTGTATAATTGAAATGTTGCTAATGCTTTCATTATAGTTTTTTTTAACAACAAAGAAAAGTTGCTTTGATTTCAGTGGTACCTTATCTACTTTGCAGTACCAGGCCAAGAAGAGAATTTCTGCTGAGGACGCCATGAAGCATCTTTACTTTAAAAGTCTTGGAACAAGGGCACACACTCTACCTGATGGTAAATCATTCACTGATTAATATGCAGTAATCAATTTTCAATGCTGTTGTAAGGAATCATAACTCAGTATAGATTCCAGGTAGCATTTTGTTTGGATAAGATAAGATAATTTGAACACAAATGAAAATTAGATTTTCCTTTTAAGGTTGAGAATTCTGTCCTTATTTTTAGGTTTTTTTTAAAATTCTGAATCTCTTTTCCCACTTTAAATGTGGGTATAGGAATTTATAATTGAAAAGCTTCAACAACAATTGTATACAGATGCAGATTTTGCTTGTTTGTGCTCTCTGCATTCTCTTTCGGTGCTGCCTGCCTTTTCTTTCCCCTGCTCTTCTTCTTTAAGGTGAGAGGTGTTGTGTCATTTAACATGCAAAGGCAGATAAAGGAAATATGGAATTAAATTGGAACGGGAACCATGGGGAAAATGTTATCTTTCCCACATCACTTTGCTTTCATCAACTTCCCAACTCTATCACGTTACTACTTCCCATTCGCCTTCCTGGCGTATTTTCTTCCATGTGAGCCACTTGTTCACCACTAGTATTTTCTCTGCATGCTTGTTCAAATGTTCACTTTGGCCTTCATTTTCATCAACTCCCACTAAGGACAGATGAGAGGCCAGATAAATTTCTCCCTAATCTACTCCTTCCCTCCCTCTCCTACCATATCATGTAACCTAGTTCCCTCAGAAGTACTTTGGTTACTTTTGTCATGACCATAGGTAAATACCTAAGTACTGTGGACGTTTCCAATTTGTAAATCCAAAATGTGCTTGTTTAAAACAAAAGTTAATACATCAAAAAGAAAATGCAGATCAGATGCCTGTCTGGAGAGAGAGAGACACCCTTGGAATGTCATGCATAAAGATCTGAAGTGAACTTCAAGCAACAGTCCTTCAAAGAGGGAAGAGGCAAGTCAAAACAGACTGGACTGCGATCATAAAGATAATGAGAAGTTGACGACTCCCCTGCTCAACAGCAACCCACTGTCGATTATGCCCCAAACTGCAGGATCATTATTGTGGTCTTTGCTTTGGGACAGGGGTAAAAAAATTAGTTTAAATGCTGTTGAAGTGTGTTCGTGAGACTGAGGTTCCTGCATGCGCATGTGCGGTGGGGTGTGTGTGTGCGTGTGTGCAGTAGGATTAAGGTTCTCGTGTGCATTCTAATGAGACGTGGTACCCATATGTACTAGCCTAGATTTGTGCTTTAGTGTGCTCTCCCTTAGTCACCCTTCATTGTAGGTAGTATCTTTTTTCCCTCTCTGACTTTAAGGTTTTTGCGTAAGATTTGTAGCTCAGGTTGTGGATACTTCATCATAAGCTGCACTAATGATGTTACACAGAAGGGTAATGAAATGTCTGCAAACTAACGAACCAGCTCGGTGAGCAAACCAACCACAGCTTTCTCCCTGACTTCTAGAAGCCAGCTAGCTAACAAGCCAGATAAGAGGAAAAATTACAACCAAAGGAATCGCTTTCATCTTGAATGCTGGAATTGAAAAGGAATCAAAACAACAGAATCATAACAATCTGTAAAAATAAAAATCTTTGGTATCGACTCTTCAACAAGCAATGTCAACACGACCAGTATACTACACTGCAACAGCATACCATTCAACTGTCCACTCTTTGCGAACAGCTCAGAGTTTTTTTTTCAACTTTTATCTTTTCAAACTCACTCTCCTATTATTTACAATCTCTGTGTATTTGTGTTGTGTTACTAATTCTTCTCATGCTCAGTATTTAATAAACTCACTTTTTAACTGGGCATTCTTGAGTTAACATTTTCTCCTTTTAAAACATAACTTCATTTAGTTCGAGAAGAAACCTATCCACAAGGGGATGGGTGAATAAAGAAGTAGAGCCAGTTTAACCCTCTTCACCCGGAAGCTTAATGATTTGGGGTGTCCTGTCTGAAACTGTTTTGGGGAATTTTGCCCAGGATCTGACTGCAATGTTTTCAAAATTCTAATTTGAAGAACCAAATTGAAATGTGAAAAGAGACTTCCTGTTGCTTCATTTTCTTTTCTCTTGTGTCTTGCTTCTCTTTTCACCTGTCTTGAAGGTGAAACTGCCAGCATTTGCCATTATTATTCCTCTCACAAAGATCATATCTTTTTCTTTTTGAGGTTTTTAAATTGTGGACAGAAATGAGAAAAGAAAAAGGACCGGGATTGCAGCACAGTTTGAAAGCAAGGTGCTTGTTGCTCATTATTAATGCTGTTTGCACAGCCATGGGTCACTTGAGTAGTTGCAGATGAACAGGAACCTAAGGGCTGTATGCAAATGGACCTTTGGCAACAAATAACAGATTAGGCTAGTGACCAGTTCCTAGTGACAAAGGCCTTCTGCCTGACAACAGTTATATGATTGGTTCTGCAGTATCTAATGACTTGGGACTGTGAACAAGATACACGGATGCCTTCAGGCCATCATCAGCTTTTTATCTCTCTCGCACTTTCTCTCTCTCTCCCCCCAGTCCCTCCATCTCTCTCTCCCACTCTGTCTCCCGCTCACACCACCCCCCAACCCCCATCTTTCTCTCGTGCTCTTGCTCACACTCTGTCATGGGCGCGCGCTCTCACACTCTTTCTCACACTCGCTCTCACTCACCCGCTGTCTCTCTCGTACTTTCACTCTCTCACTCTCCATCTCACTCTAATACTTTCGCTCTCTCTTCCCCCGTCACTCTTGCTCGCCCTCCCTCTTCCCCGCCCCACCCATTTTCCCGCTCACTCTTTTCTTGCTCACTCCCTCTCTCTCTCTTTCCCCACTACCCGCCCACCTTGCGCTCCCTCTCTGATTCCTTCATTAAGTCACTTTAAACCTGCAGAAAAGCACTTTAAACCTGCAGAAAAGCACTTTCTATTTCATTCTGCAGTTGCTGTGAGCTGAGATTTGTAATTAATAAGCCAGAGACACTTCCTAAGTAAACCAGCACCCTGTACCTCTTGTACAGAGAAACTATCTGGAGGAGGACAACTGAAAATCAACATTCTGACCATTGCAACAATCATAAGAATTATCTCAGTAACCTTTACGAGCAAGAATCACTGAACTCCTTTCCCAGTGTATTTCTCTCTGTTCATAACTCAAATTTTTTTCCTGTCTGCGTGTGTGTGTGTGTGTGTGTGTGTGTGTGTATGTAAAAGGAGGAGTTTATAAGGGGATCAGAGTTACATACTGATTGTTCGTAATTGTTTACTTGTAACTAAGTCTAATTACTTATAATAAATCGTAATTTGTTAAGTGCAGAAGTCTGGTCCACGTTTTCTGTCAACTAGGGCCTAAAAGACAGGTAAATTGGGGAATTCTGTGAACTTTTTAAAATCTTTAACTTTAGTGATGACTCTGGGAATAGAGGAGCTTTATTGTCAGCGTACTGCTCCAGAGAATCGTGACACTATGAAACTGACAACTTTCGGTGGACTTTCAGACAAACAAGGAACAAGAGCTGGCCACTCAGCCCTTTGACCCTGCTCCACCATTACATAAGATCAAGGCTCATCTGATTTTAACCTCAACTCTACCTTCATGCATATCCCAATAATCTTTCATCCCTTTGTTAACCATGAATCTATCTATCTCTACCTTAAAGATCATTAAAGATATTGCATCCACTGCCTTGAAGGGAATTCCAAAAATGCTCAAGCCTCCGAGAGGAAAAAAAAGTTTCCACATCCTGTCTTAAATTGGTGACCCCTTATTTTTAAACTATAACCCCTGGTTCTAGATTTCCCCAGAAGAGGAAGACATCTTTGTCATCCATCTGGTTAAGTCCCCTCATGATCTTATATATTTTAGTGAAGTTGCCTCTGACTTTTCCAAACTCCATTCAGGCCCACTCCCTCTAGTGTTTCCTCATGAGGCAATCCGTTTCTTCCAGGTATTAGTCCAGTAAACCTGCTCTGAACTGCTTCCAATGCATTAACATTAAGTATGGCGACCAGTACTGTACATATTCTAGTAGCTATCTCTGATCTTTCCTGATTACTTGCTGTACCTGCAAAATAAACCTTCTGAAATTCATGCATTAAGGCACCCAGACCTCTCTGTAACCTCTCTCAATTTGGATAAAATGCTTTTTTTATTCTTTCTGCCAAAATAGGCAATTTCACACTTGCCCATTTGTACTCCATTGACCAGACTTTTTTTCCTACTCAACCTTTCTATATCCCTTTATAGACTCCTTTTTACAATTGAAGTTCATACCTATATTCGTTTCATCAGCAAATCTAACGTCCATACCTTTGATCCCTTCATCTAAATCGTTTATAAGAATTGTAGAGTTAAGGTCCTTGCACCAACCTCTGTGACACCACTCATGACACCCTGCCAGCCTGAAAAAGACCCATTTATTCCAAATCTCTGCTCCATGTTAGCCAGACAATCTCCTATCCATGCCAGTATGTTGCCTCCTACATGTTGAGCTTTTATATTCAGCAGTAACCTTTGATGGTGAACCTTTTCAAATATGCTCTGGAAATCAAAGTCCAATCAATCTACTGGTTCTCCTTTATTTATAGCACAAGCTACTTCTTCAAAAAACTCCAATAAACTAGTTAAACATGACTTCCCTTTGACAAAACCATGTTGTTGTGGGGGAGGCAATGGCCTAGTGGTATTTTTTTCTATTCGTTTGGGGGATGTGGGCGTCGCTGGCTGGCCAACATTTCTTGCCCATTCTTAGTTGCCCTTGAGAAGGCAGTGGTGAGCTGCCTTCTTGAAGTGCTGCAGTCCTCTTGCTATGGGTTGACCCACAATGCTATTAGGGAGAGAATTCCAGGATCTTGACCCAGCAACAGTGAAGGAACAGCGATATGTTTCCAAGTCAGGATGGTGAGTGACTTGGAAGGAAACTTGGAGGTGGTGGTGTTCCCATATGTCTGATGCCCTTGTCCGTCTAGATGGAAGTGGTTGTGCATTTGGAAAGTGCTGTCTGAGGATCTTTGGTGAATTTCTGCAGTGCATCTTGTAGATAGTACATACTGCTGCTACT